GGAATACTATTGTGCTATAAGAAATGATGAAGAGGGCAGCTAGGTGGCGCAGTGGATAGAGCACTGGCCCTGGATTCAGGAGGACCTGAGTTCAAATCCGGCTTCAGACACATAACACTTACTAGCTGTGTGACCCTGGGCAAGTCACTTAACTCCACTGCCTAACCAAAAAAAAAAAAAAAAAAAAAACAACCACAAAAAGAAATGATGAACAGGCTGACTTCAGAAAAACCTGGAAAGACATGTATTGTCTGTTGCTGAGTAAAACGAGCAGAACCAGGAGAACATTATACACGGTAATAGCCACACTGTGTGATGACTGACTTTGATAGACTTGGCTCTCCTTTTCTTTTGTTGTTTTGCTTTGTTTATTCATTCTTGTGGTTCCTCCCATCAGTTCTAGTTCTTCTTTACATCATGACTAATGGGAAAATATGCTTAATATGAGTGTATAAGTAGAGCCTATATCAGATTACATGCTATCTTGGGGAAGAGGGGGAGAAAATTTAAAACTCAAAATTTTATGGAAGTGAATGTCAAAAACTAAAAATAAATTAATTAATTGTTTATAAAAAAGAATTAATCTAACTTTAGAAACCTCAGTGGTTTTCTATTGCCTCCAGGATAAAATATTAATTCCTCTGTTTGGCATTGAAAGTTCTTAATAATCTGTCTGCAGACAGATTTTTTTTTGTTTAAAAATTGCATTAATATATGAACTGATGCAAAGTGAAGTGAGCAGAACCAGAAGAACATTGCACACAGTATCAGCAACATTGTATAAAGATCAACTGTGAATGACTTAGCTGTTCTCAGCAATGCAATGATCCAAGACAATTCCAAAGGACTCATGATGAAAAATGCTATCCACATCTAGAGAGAACTGACAAACTTTGAGTGCAGATTGAAGCAGACTTTCTTTCTTTCTTTCTCTCTCTCTCTCTCTCTCTCTCTTTCTTCTCTGTGTTTTCTTTTGTAACATCACTAATATGGAAATATTTTGTATGACTGCATATGTATAATCTTTATCAAATTGCTTGCCTTCTCAAGAAAGGGAGAGGGAAAGAAGGGAGAGAGAAAATGTGGAACTCAAAATTTTTAAAAATGAATGTTAAAAATTATTTTTATATGTCATTGAGAAAGAATAAATAAAAAAAAGGTTTCATAAAAAATTGCATTGGTCTTTTGGTTTTACAAGACTTTAATTTCAGAATATGTCCTGTATGCACTCTCCTACCCAGTGAGTCATCCCTCATACAAAAGATTTTTTTCAAAAAGAAAGAGGAGGGGAGGGAGGAAGTAGCAAAAGCAATCAACCTATCAGTGTTGTCTGACAGGGAATGGGGAGTCACATCCCCATAGTCCTCCACTTGGGTAAAGAATGGAACCAAGTGTATTTTTTCAATTCTTCTTCAAGGTGAAGTTTCTTGGTCATTGTAATTACATAACATCCCATTTTATTTTGCATTTTTTTCCATTTACATGTATATTGTGCAATTTATCTTTCCAAAATGATCACACATCACTTGTCAAGTACTTAAGCTAAATTTTCCTTCTTGTATTCTGAAAACTGGACTTACTATTTGTGCACAGGCTATCCTCTCCCTCAGGCTGCTAGGTGGTGTCATAGTGCATAGGGTGCTGGGCTGGAATCAGGACTCACCTTCTGAGTTCAAATCTGGTCTCAGACATTTAATTTAATTTATTTAATATAATATGTAGTTTATATATTTAATAAATATATTCAATAAATTTAATAAACATATATTTAATATAATTTAATTTAAATCTTATTTGCCTCAGTTTCCTCATCTGTAAAATGAGCTGGAGAGGGAAATGGCAAACTACTCTGGTATCTTTGCCAAGAAAACCCCAAATGGGGTCACAAAGAGTCAGATACAGCTGAAACAACTGAACTGAAGGGACCGATGACCTTGGTACTTAAACCTTGTCTAGTAAGGCTCTAGTCTACTGTCTCAGTCTGATTTCACATACCTCCTCTTTCCTATAGTCTTCATGTTGGTCAGAATGACCTAATTGTTGTTCCCGAAATGGACCATTCCATTTTCCATGTCCCTCATGTCTGAAGTGCTCTTTGTCTCTCTCTACCTTCCATTGAAGCTTAACTCCATTGGCACCTTCTACAGGAAACCTTTCTAGATTCCCCCATGATTGTCCTTCCTTCCCTCAGCCCAGGGGTGGGAAACCTGTGGCCTCAAGGCCACACGTGGCCCTCTAGGTCCTCAAGTGCAGCCCTTAAGGTCCCAGAGGGTCACATGTGGCCTGCTAGCTTATGTTGTATCCTCCCAGTAGAGTGTAAGCTCCTTGGGGACAGATACTGGGCCACTTTCATATTCATATATCCAGTGCCAGATATGTAGTAGGTGCTTAAAAAATGATTATTGATTGCTTGATTGTATAATCTGTCTTCCAGAAATGTTTCTAAGACAGAGGAGCACCAAAAGCTAGCTAGGTATTGGTTGCACCAGAAAGCCACTGGTCCCTCTGGTTTCCAGTGGTCTTGACAGATATTTCAGCAGAGAATCCAGGTGGCCCCAGGAGGAGAGGGATGGATTGGGACTCCAGGACTCTGAAATGGCTATCCAGGTAGAGAGTGGAGTAATGACCAGCAAACTGCCTTTGGTTCAGACGAGAGGACTGTGGAGTGAGCAACTGACCTGAACACAGACAGAAGTAGATATGTGTTGGCCAGAGGAATAGGAAGTAGATTGTGTAGGAACCTCAGACAGCTGGCTGTGAGGTCCATAGAAACTTATCATGGCCCTCTTCACTGCCTGGGGAAGCCAAGAGTCTTGATTCCAAAAGCCTATCCTAGCACACCGCACTTCTTATTTCCCCTTGGGTAGGTGGGAGATGGTACATGAGTGGGAAAGCCATTCAGCCCACAGCTGTAACCACCATGGCTAACGTTTGGAAGCCAGGTGCCTGTTAATATTCATTTCAGGTTCTGTGTTACTTGAAGCAGCTATGAAAGGTCATCTACCATGATTTTGAGGGAATTCTGTCAGTATGTGGTTAGAAACTGAGAGAGGGGAACTTAATTCAAAGGGAAAATAGATTTTTCCTAGGAGGGTGGTGGGAACGTGTAGTGGGAAGAGACAGAGAGTTTCTGGAAATTTAGTAAGATTTATATTATGCCCTAGATTAAACCTAGAGGTTTAACCAGGAAAGGAAGTGACTAGCACCTTTCACCAAATACAAATGGATACATGGCCTAGATATAAAAGGCCTTATTCTGTTCAGTCATTTTCAGTTGTGTCCGATTCTCTGGACCCATTTGAGGTTTTCTTTTTCTTTCTTTTTAGGCAATTGGGGTTAAGTGACTTGCCCAGTATCACACAGCTAGTAAGTGTCAAATGTTTGGTCTGAGGATGGATTTGAACTCAGGTCCTCCTGACTTCAGGGCTGGTGCTCTACCCACTGCACCACCTAGCTGGCCCCCATTTGAGGTTTTCTTGGCAAAGACACTGGAGGAGTTTGTTGTTTCTTTCTCCAGCTCATTTTACAGATGAGGAAACTGAGACAAATAGGGTTAAGTGATTTGCTCAGGGTCACACAGCTAGTAAGGTCTGAGGTCATATTTAAACTCATGAAGATGAATCTTTCTGACTCCAGGCCCAGAGTGCTATCCACTACAGCACCACCTAGAGGACCATATAGGAGCAATGAAGAAAATACCTTTCAGATCTATAGATAGTGGAAGAATTCATGCCCCATCAGGTGACAGAGAAGATTATGGAAAAAAATTAATAATTTTGATTATATAAAATTAAAAAGTTTATATATAGATTAATCTAATGTAGTAAAAATTAGAGGGGAAACAGGTAATTGGGGAAAAATCTTTGCAGCAAGTTTCTCTAATAAAGGACTTATATCCAAAATATATTAGGAACTGATTCAAATTTTTAAGACTAAGAACTTTTCCCAAATGAAGGTCAAAAGATATGAAGATGGGGGGCAGCTAGGTGGCTCAATGAAGAGAGCACTGGCCCTGGAGTCAGGAGGACCTGAATTCAAATCAGGCCTCAGACACTTGACTGGAACTAGCTGTGTGACCCTGGGCAAGTCACTTAACCCCATTGCCTAGCAGAAAACAAAAACAAAACAAAAAACAAACAAAAAAAGACATGAAGATGTAGTTTTCAGTTGAAGAAATCCAACCTATCATCAACCCAGTGAAAAATATGCTCAAAATCTGAGGATCAGAGAAATTGTGATTTGCCCAGTGTCAGGTAGGTAGAAAGAGGCAGGGGTGGGATCTGAACTCAGGTCTTCAGACTCTAAATCCAGCTCTTAGATTCTGGAAGGGTCCTTCACTTTAGAGTTGAGGAACAGAAAAGTCAAAGTGAATTGCCTAAGGTCTCATGGGTAGTATCTCACTTAGAGGGCAGCTAAGTGGCTCTGTGGTTAGAGTGCTGAGACTGGAGTCTGGAAGCTTTGAGTTCAAAATCTGGCTTCATATGCAAATCACTTAACCTCTGTTTGCCTTAGTTTCCTCATCTGTAAAATGGGAGTAATAATAGTCCCTAGCTCCTAGGGTTGTTTTGAGGATCAAATGAGATCATATTTGTAAAGCATTTAGCACAGTGTAAGCACCATATAAATGTCAGCTATTATTGTTATTATTATTTAGAAGTCCTAGATGTAGTCATAGCCATGGTAGCAAGGGGCAAGGCTGGTATCTGAACTACTAAGGATTCACAGATTCAGAGTTGGAAAGTACTTCAGAGGGCATCTAGTCTGACTTCCTCATTTGGGTGATCCATCCCAAGTCACATATGCAGATGTAAAGTTAGGATGGCACATGACTTGGAAACACGGTGCTTAACAAGTGCTCTTTCCTTTATTCATTCATCATAGGTTTTGAGCAGGAAGGGACCTTTGGGGGGGGGTCAACTTCTTCATTTTACAGAAAAGGAAACTGATGTAGTGACCTCTTGTCTGAAGTCACACAGTTAGTAACAGCAAGCAAGACTGCATTTGAATTCAGTTCCTCTTTCTTTAAATGACACAGAAGGGACCACGTAGGGCAGACCAGATGAGGTAAGCTCAGGGAAGGAGGTCCAAAGGAGAATTTCTGCATTTAGGGGTGGGTGGGGGTGGGGATCACAGCTCACTAGCCCCAGCCAAATCTTCTTCCTTCCCACAGACCCACTGGATGGGGCATTTTAGCGATTTCTGCTCTTGCAGCTGAGTTTTGTTTCTGCCTCTAGCCTGGAAACAGATCAGAAGGGAAAATGAAACCGAAGAAATGTTCTATCGGCAAAGTAGAGTTTCAGTTTCCAGAGTTGTTTGTCTCTGGATCCGCCCCTTGTGTTATGCTAAGCTGGTTCGGGCATATAAAAAGGAGCCAGTCATAGCTGTCACAGAGGGAGTGACGGAGCTGGGAGAGAGAAAGCATCCCTGAAAGCCTGAGCTGAGCCTGAGCAAACCTACCTTGTCCAAGACCTGCAGCCATGGTAAGATGGGAGCCCCGGGGTATGTCATCCCTCTGGGCCTCAGTTTCCCTTTTTCCCCCCATTTTTAAGTTGATTCTCTCCCTTCTCCTCTACATTACACCCCTTTCCTAACGTGCACCTCCTCCCTTCTAACTGGAATCAACAGGTAGGCAAAATAGACTGAAGGGGAGACTGAGTCAAAGACGTGTGCCACCTCCTTCCCCAGCCCTGATTTCCCTCCCAAGAGTAGCACGGTGTGCTATTTATTCCTCCCCTGTTCTTCAGGGACCAGAGGGTTCATTGCAATCCATCTAAGCCCACTGTCCTTTTGGCAATATTCTCCTTTCTGTTGTTGAAGTCTGCTTTCTTCATCTGCATCACTTTGCCCAAGTCTTCCTATGCTTCTCTGAATTCGAACTTTGGCTTTCTCATCGATAAAATGGGGATAAGAATGCTTGACCCAGATTTCCACTTGCTGGAGGAGGTCATTGATGATCTAAGGGACCTTGGGTACAAGCCTCAGTTTCTTCATCTGGAAAATGGATTTAGACTCAGTGACCTCTGATACCACTTCTAGCTCTAAATCTGTGCTTCCCAACACGAGCAGTGTTGAGGCTCCTATCTGGATTTCGAGCTGGAAGGGCCTTGAGAGGTTATCTACTTCAACCACCTTATGTTACAGCAGAGGAAACTCAGGTCCAGACAAATTCTTAGTTAAGTAAGGTCACAAAGGTACTAAGTGGTAAGGATGGGATTAGAACTCAAGACTTTTGACTCCAAAGCCAGCATTTTCCCCTGCTGAGAAGTATATGGACAACCACTGAGGTTGCTTCTCTCATTTTCTTTCTCTCCTCTTTTTTTCTCTCTCTCCTCTCTTTCCCTCTCTCCCTCCCTCTCCCTCTTCTCTCCTCTCTCTTTCCTTCTCTCTCCCCTTTCCTTCTCTCTCTCCCCTCTCCTCCTCTCTCTACCCCCTCTTTCTCCTCCCCTCCCCCCTCTCCCATCTCTCTCCTCTCTCTTCTCCTTTCTCCTCCCCCTCCTCCTCTCTCTCCTTCTCTCTCTCTCCCCTCTCTCTCTACCCCCCTCTCCCTACTCCCTTTCTCCTCTTTCTTTCTCCTTCTCTCTCTCTCTACCGCCCCTTCTCTCCCCCCTCCCTCCTTTCCTTTCCACTCTCTCTCCTGTCTCTGTCTCTGTCTCTTCCTCTCCCTAGACAAAATAGGATAGAATAGGTTAGGCTTAGCTAGCCTGAGTTGAGTTGGGCTAGGCTAGGATTCGATATGACACAATACTACAGGTTACTATTGAGTGCTGTCCCAGACCTTCGACCCACCTAAGTCCAACCCCTTTATTTTACAGATGAGGAAAGGGTGACCTGGAGACCTGAAGTAATTTGAGCAAAGGCATACAGCTAGTAAGGTTTGGAAGTGGGATTTAAACCCTGGGCCCTTCACTCCAAAGCCAGTGTTCTTTTGAGGAGTTGTTGCTGAGGTCCTCTGTGCAGAATGCCATGCACCACTTTCCCTGAAGCCGTACTCCTACCTAACTCACAGAAGGGAGAGGGACCAGATAACTACAAGGCAAGACGTGGCAGGGGTGTCTCTGTGTGTGTGTGGGTGTGTGGGTGTGTGTTTGTGTGTGTGTATGTGTGTAAGAGAGAGACAGAGAGAGAAAGACAGAAACAGAGACAGAGACAGACAGAGAGATAAAGAGAAAGAGATAGAGAAAGACAGAGAGAGAGACAGAGAGACAGACAGAGACAGAGAGAGACAGAGAGAGAGAGACAAAGAAAGACAGAGACACACACAGAGACAGAGATAGGCAGAGAGATAAAGAGAAAGAGATAGAGATAGACAGACAGAAAGAGAGACAGAGACAGAAAGACAGACACACACACAGAGACAGAGACAGAGAGACAAAGAGAAAAAGATAGAGACAGAGACAGAGAGAGACAGAGAGACAGAGAGAGAAATCTAAGATTGCTATGATTAATTCTCCAGGTTCGGGAGCAGCCTGATAAGGACTAGGTGACTTGCAGAGAAGCCTCAGACTCCATTCCTGTTTCCGCTGTCCCTGGGATGTGACAAGGGGATCCCAGGGTTTTAGGTGTAGGGCTGGATCATCTAGCCAAATCTTGCTTTTCTTTGGCAGTTTTTTGTGTGTGTGTGTGTGTGAGGCAATCAGGGTTAAGTGACTTGCCCAGGGTCACATAGCTAGTAAGTGTCAAGTGTCTGAGGCTGGATTTGAACTCAGGTCCTCCTGACTCTAAAACCAGAGCTCTATCCATTGTGCCACCTAGCTGCCCCTGAATCTCCCTATTTTACAGAGGAGGAGACCAAAGCCTGGAGAGGGTAAGGACTCCATAATAACAACAGTAGCTCCCACTTACAGAATATGTCAAGGTTTACAAAGTATTTTACAAATATCATTTCATTTTATCCTCACAACAACCCTGGTAGGTAGGTGCTATTATGAACTTCATATTACAGATGTGGAAACTGAGGCTGTCTCCCCTCTTCCAAGATCACACAGCTAAATTAGCCACTGAGGCTGAATTTGAACTCAAGTCTTCTGGCCTCTCTACCCACTGCCCCACCCAGTTGCCTAAATCACTTGCGATGACCCAGGTAGTAAGTGACAAACGCAAGAAACTCATGTTATCTGACTAAAAATTCAGTGTTCTTTCCTTAGGAACCGGACTACCTCCTAAGCTGTTTATCTTCTCTAAGTCTCAGTTTCCTCCTCTGTAAAAGGGGTGTACCCCCTCACAGGGCTGGAAGTGTTTGAGTCTCAAATGTTACCTGGCTTCTCTTGCAGAGCCTGTCTCTGAAGGTGAAGATGATCACTGGAAAGGAATACACAGTGAAGGCAGAAAGCCACATCACTGTCATGGAGCTGAAGAAACGGATTGCTCAGCAGACCAGCCTGCCGGCATTGGTACATCGGCTGGCCACCAAAGACGGGGAGCTGCTGTTAAATGGGAAACTCCTCTCCCAGCACAAGTTGAAGACTGGAGATGAGCTGCTGCTGGTGGTAGAGCAAGACCAGTCCATGGACATCCTGGTGCGGAAGGATACCCACAGCAACTCCTACCACATCCGACTGAGCCAGACTGTGGCCGAGCTCAAGAAGATGGTGCAGGAGAGGGAGCTGATCAGTGTGAACCAGTTCTGGCTGCACTTCGAGGGGAAGCCCATGGAAGACAGTGACCAGTTGGGAGACTATGACCTCAGCCCGCTGTGCACCATCCAGATGAACCTGCGACTTCGTGGAGGGGTTGGAGGGAAAGGATGCTAGGGAGCCCCTGGTTTGGAAGAGAATGTATATGTGTACTGGGGGGGGCCTTGTCATTCTCTGGGCTCTTTGACTTTGGCTCTTGGGTTGGGTTGGGATGATAAAGGGTTGGGGCTTGAGATTTGGGTTGATGCTCCCCTATTGACCTGCCCTTCCCCACTCCCCTGGGTCTTGACTTCTCTGCTAGGTCCTGACCCTTGCCCTGGCAAGCTCCCTGCCTTAATTATCTGGATCCAGCTGTCAATAATGAATGTCAATAAAGGAGCAAACCTGTCTCTTGTATTCTAGAGTCTGTTCCCTCCTCCTTTCTTCCCCAGAAGGGGAGGGAGGTAGGGGGCTCATTTTTCCTTTCTAAGCTTAAGGGGTACCCAGGTTCCTTCCCAACAATGACATTTAATTTAATAAACAGCTAGGGTTCTGTGATGTGAAAGGCTTCCATTGGGTACCTGGGAGATCTCTCAGCTCCCATTTATCTTAAGACCTTTTACCTCAAGGCATTTGCCTTCTATGGGAGGTGGGGGGGGATATAACAGTTATGCATAAGTAAATAGAAGATAATCTGAGGAAGGAGAAAGCACTAAAAGCCAGGAAGATGAGGAAAGGCTTCCCTGTAGGAGGCCGTGCCTGGACTGGGACCTCAGGGAAGCTAGACATTGAGAGACAGAACCGAGGAGGGGATACACAGAGAGGCAAAAGACTGCCTGCACTCAAGGAGCTCCCAATCTAATGGCAGAGACACCAAGCAAATATATACAAAGCAAGCTACAGATGGGATAAATAGGAGATAATAAGGGAGAGAGAGCTCAAGGAGAATAGCTTCAGACTTCTCTGTAAAATACGAGGCAAGATTCTCAGAGGAGAGAGTGAGGGGAAGGGAGTCATGAGAGGTTTCAGGAAGGATGAGAAGGTTTGGAAGAGCAGCTGTGGAGAGGGGGAGAGCTGATAAGGGAGGATTGCCCCGTGGCAGTGAGGGCTCGGTTGGGATTCTGTAACACAAATTTATAGTGTACCCAGTTAGAATGGTTGTGGGATTTTCTTCATCTTTGTTTAGCAGTATGTGTGTAGGAGCAAAGGTGATGAATGTGGGAATGACCCAAAGCTGAAGCTTGGCTGGGTGTAACCGGGAAGGAACTGGTTCAAATAAGGGTGAAGATGGGGAGAAGAGAAGGGAGTAGTTAGCAGAAGGGAGATGGCTTGGGAGAGAATTGAGGGGTCCGGGGATTGTTGGTTACAGTGAGGATGAAAAGCAGGGTATGGAAAGGGAAGGCAGAAGGGAGAGATGAAAAGTCCAGAGATTATGGCCAGATAAGGGGATTTTCGAGTTCTTGAATATGGAAATGGCCCATTTGTGGGTGATGGTAAGATCTAAGGTATGACCATCTTTGGGTGTGGCTGAATGGGGTGGAGGAGCAGCTCACCAGAGAAGAGCAGATCGGTCAGGGGGTTTGAAGGAGAGTCAAGATTATGTTGAGGTCCCCTAGTATGAGGGCAAGAGTCGGGGAGAAGAGAAACATTGTGAGCCCACATATTGGACTCATTGAAGAAGGAAGCAGGGAGTGATCTGGAGAAGGGGAGGTTGGAGACCACAGCTACCAGGATTTTGATTGGATGGTAGAGCTGAATAGCACAGACCTCAAACAAGAAGAATGATTGAGGCAGCAGGAGAACCTGGAATTGGCCATGGAGGGCAAGGGAATGGGAGCAAACCACTCCCAATGTATTCTGTTGATTTCTTGCTTATACTTTTTTGGCTTCATTTCTTCTGCTCATGGCATGGTGCCTAGCACATAGTAGGCACTCAGTAATCACTTGTGTGTGTGCCTAGCACACAGTAGGCACTCAGTAATCATGCCCTCACATATAAGGAGATGTTGCTTAATTCTGGTCTGCTCTGGAGGCCCTTCCACACTTCCATTGCCATCTTCTGGACATGGCCCAACAGGGCATTCCTTCCTAAATGGATCCCAATGCACCAGTTGAGGTCTTACCAAGGTGCTATAGGACAGTGTTACCTCCTTCTTCTTGTACACTACGTCCCTCTTTGTGTATTGTAAGAGTGTATTTTTTTTTTTTTGGTTACTCCGTTACACTGTTAATTCATAAGCTATGTGGCACACTAAAACCCCTGGATCTTTTTCAGAGAAATTAATGCCTAGCCAAGCCTCCTTCATCTTGTACGCCAAACTTAAAGTCAGAGGACCTAGGTTTGAATCCCAGCTCTGCTTTTATTTTTCTCTTGGTCTAGATTTTTTTTTAAATTTAAGAGTAGGGAGGGCAGCAAAGTGGCAAAGTAGATAGAACATTGGCTCTGGAGTCAGGAGGACCTGAGTTCAAATCCAGCTTCAGACACTTACTAGCTGTGTGACCCTGAGCAAGTCACTTAACCCCAATTGCCTCCAAAAAAAAGAAAAAAGAGTAGGGAGATGAAAAAATTCAGAATTAACAATCAATAAGCTCCATAATTTCTCTCCCAGTATATAGGGAGAGATCAGTCTAGCACTGCCACCCCTATTCCCACCTCAGAATCATCTGTTGGATTCCTCATCTCTCTGGCCCCTCGTCTCCTTGCTGTACTTAAGGCCCAGCTCCTCACTGACACTGCTGATCAGTGACTGTGAGGGCCTGGGTCCTGAGGACCAGAGTCTCCCCCATTTCCCTAAACTCTGTTCTTGGTGGGTAGCTGGCTGGCCCTGGACTCAGGAAGATCTGGGTTTGAGTCCTGCCTTTGATCTGCACTTGTCCCCTTGGATATGTTGAATCCTTTTAATTCTGCAAATAACTCCTTAAGACTACAGAGCTTAGACCAACAAAACTTGCTTAGCTCTGGTTTGTAAACACCGACTGAGAAACAGGCCCTAATTCCAGCAAACTTACATTTTCCTGGGTAATACAACATGTGTCCAGAAAAGAAAATTTAAAAAGTATAAAATAACATACAAAAATTGCATAGGGAGAGGCAAATAAAAGGTCTTTACCCAATAGAGGGAAAAGCAGAAAATATTTCCTGGATGGGATAGTATTTGATTTAGGCTTTAAAAATGAAGGTAAGAATTGAACAAGTTAAGAGAAGGGAAAGCTTTTCCAGACATGGGGCACAGCTCAACCAAAGGCCTTGGGGTGGGGAAGTTTAAGATTCATTAAAGGAGGTTAGGAAGACAAATGTCCCAAAAGCCTTTGTGCAGTTTTAACTTTTGAGAACACCCAGAATTAGGAAATAAAACTGAAAATGTTTGACAAGTTCTTAAAAGACAGGATTGATGCTTTGCTTGGTAGGCAATGGGGAGCCAGTGAAGATTGTTGAGCACTCCGTGACCAGATATATGTAGAAGCAAGGCCGATCTGATAGGACTACAAAAGAGCAATTGGGGGTGGGGTGGGGTGGGGTGGATCATTGAAGCAGGAGGAGCATTAGGAGGCTTGAAAGGTTGTACTAGTGTGGGTACCATGGGAATAGAGGGGAAGGGATGGATATGGGGAAGGTAGAATGGACAGATAGGGGCCTTGCTAGTGACTCAGGAAATGTTTGTTGGATTCTATAATACACAGTAACCTCATCTTTTCCCCTCTGGAGTCTGCAACAAGGAGAGGAAATGTATCCAAACCGTGGGCAGCCAGGGAAGAGGCTGGTGGGGAGGTAGGGAGACTGGTGGCTGGTTTGGATCCCTGCCTTCAGGCTATGAGCCTGAGGCCCACTGCCCACACATAGCCTTCAGGCTACAGCCCAACCCCAGCTCAATCGCCTGTCTCTGGACCAGTGTGTTCAGGAGAGGCAGGGCTGCCTTGGAAACCTTCCCTGATTCCCTCCAGCCCCGTCTCAGGATTCTCTGCTGGAGCTCCTGGGAAGCCGATCATAGGGAGTCTTTCCTACCCACCCTATCACCCTCCAGCACCAGGTCCAAGGTCAGACAGGCTCTGTCCCACTCCTTGGCTCTTGCTTGGGGCTTGACTATCTTTGATGAGTCAGGCCAGGGTGTGTGTGTGTGTGCCTGCCCTACTTCTGGTCAGCTCTAAGATGGCAGTGAAGACACCAAGGACCTACTTTACCTTCCCCCACCCTCTATGGTGGGAGTGTACTCCTCTCTGAGCGCCAGGGCTCCCCTTTCCCCCAAGGCTCCTTCCCCGACCTGGACAGGAAAGCTCCCCATTAGTGTGGCCTGAAAACCTGAGATGGGGTGGGGAGTGGGGGCTGCTTTCTCTTTGCTTCTTCTGTAGCTGCACTTGGGAGATCTGCATGAATGGAGGCAGGGCTAGCCACATCTGGATTGGGAAGGGGAATCATTGACCTAGATGATTGTTGGGGAGTCTAGAGAGGGGCAGAAGGGAGCTGTGCCCCCTCTCCCACCAGGGCAGGCACAGCTGGATCCCATCCTCTACCCTCATCTGCACGGTCAGCTCTTGGCTGAGGTTCAGACCTCTTTAGTTAATTATGAGGCAGGTGTGAGTGGGCAGAAGCGGGTTCCAGGCTGCAGGGGAGCTCCTAGGCTGGGCTGGGGTGGGGTGGGGTGAGGGAGGGAGGGAGGAAGGACCAAGGCATATGGGGCCTTAGAAAGGAATGAGTTTCCTGAGCCCCAGATTGAAGCCCTAGTCCTTGGGACTGGAGGGACACACCTGGCGCCTCATTTCTCTGCCTGCTTTCCTTACAGAAGGGAGAAAGGACTCTCCGAGACCCTGCTGAGGGTCTCCCTTCTCCTGACCACCCTTCTGCTTCTCCTCTCCATCCTTTTTCTCTTCCTTTCAAACCAATTTCCCAAATGAGTTGGGGAGGGGGAGGAGGGAGTGTCTATGTGCGTGTGCTCGAGGGGAGCCAGCTCCTGAGTCAGCATGTGTAAGGACCAGAGGCAGAGGGTGGGGGGAGAAGATTCATGGATCTGAGTGGAGCCCGCAATGCAGTGTCGGGAGCCCGAGCTTTGGCTTGGGGGCTCTGCTCCTTCCACCCCCAGGGAGTCCAGGTGGGGCAGCTTGCACTGGTCCAAAGAGGTAATACTGTTTCTGAGCCTGTTTCCCCAACTTTGAGTTACATGAGCACACCCCCCACCTCAGATGAAATGGATTATCCTCCTTCATCCTGTCTTCATGTCTAGAGATAGTTCAGGGCAGGAGCTGTTATCACCAGTCCGCCATACACTTACTCCTCACCCCCTTGGGGCACAGGGTCTCAGACTGCCCTGACCAGAAGGGGATGTCAGATGGAAGACAGTGAATAGATTAGGGAGAAGGCCTGAGCTACACTCAGGAGTAAGGATAATTTCTTCCTCTAGCCTAGATAGGTCTGCTCTAGGCAC